ACCCGGGATGAGCCCGCAGAGTGCCTCAGGTGGACCCGTTGAACGGGTGTACGTCGAACGTATCCATTGCCCGGATACAGAGCAGCTCGCAGCGAGCGTAGGTGGCCTAGGCCGTACGTCCGATGATTTTTGCCCCATCTTTGGAATTCCAAGTTGGCTTATGCCTTTACGTGACCGCAGCGGCCCAAGCTGGCTTAACGCCTCAACGTGGTCAGAGCGACCGAAGTACTTTTGAGGTTCATTGGAACCTGTCGAGCACTTAGCCCCCCCTTCTCCCCCTTCCCTCCCCTGTTCTTTCTTTGCTTTCTGGGGTTTTCCTGAATGCAATACTCAGGATCACCCCTCTCTTTCTTGGGTGTGTCCCTGGACGGTTGTTCGTAGCTGGGAACACCTTCCTTTCCTCTCACTTTCTCTCCCTCTCTCTTTCTTTCCTTCTCTCTTTCCTCTCTTCACCCTCTTCCCTGGGTGTCCCTGGATGCTTCGTCATAGCTGGGAGCCCTTCTTTTTGGTGTGTCCCTGGACGCATGTGTCGTAGCTGGGAGCACCTTTGTCTCCTTCTTTCTCTGTCTCTTCATCCTCATCCTTTCTTTCTCTTGCGCGCACTTTCGACCGGACCTTAGTTTGTGCACATACACGCACGCGTACTTTACTTACAGCAAGGTTCAGGTGGCCCAGGTTCGTTACAATGAGGTTTGGCTCATCGGTTGTCCCTCTTCACTTGGTTCCTTTTCATCGGCAACCACACACACCTTTGTCTGTCTTGTCCTTCTCATTTTCATCCGTCCCGTTTGCGTGCACATGTGCTTACCTCCTTTCCGGGCAGGATGGAGGTCACACATGCCTCCCTTCGGGGAGGCGTGTGTGTGTGTAACCCTTGGAATCATAGGGATCCTTTTAGATTTCAGCAGGGGTCGGCGCGGAGCTTAAAATCTTGCCTCCCTTCGGGGAGGCGTGTGTGTGTGTGTCACCCTTGGAGTCATAGGGATTTGCTTTTGTTTTACAGCAGGGGGTGCCAGGGACCGTGCAGGTCTGGCACTAACAAAGACGCTTGCACTGGTCTGTGAAATCAATCCGGGACGCCGGATTGACGTACCTGCTTTGAGATGAACCTACGTAAATGCAAAGCTGTCTCATTCTTTGTTGTGCAGTAATTGTCTAGTGCTGACCTCACCGTCGTTGAGCTTTGGAGACCTTGACTTCAGAATTTCGGCTCTTTCCTGAAACTTTTGGGCCTTCCGCTGGACGAACCTTTTCTTCCTTTTAGGCTTCCCTTCTTCTTCCTTTTAGGTTTCCTTACCTGTACTCTTAGGAACTGGAACCCTAGGCCGGCGTGTGGCACCGCATTCAGTTCCGTACACAATATCTCAAGTGTGTGTGTGTGTGTGCGTCACACTCTGCTTCTAAGAGTTTTCCACAAGCAGGGGCGTGTGACACTCTTATTCTATCACACGCAACGAAGCTGTGGATAAGAGTGGGAAGGGAAACTTGGCCAGTTTCCTGTACCTGCGACGCAACTGTTATCAAGCTGTCCAATTTTGTGTTTTGCTTCCATGGTGGTTTCATGATACTCCCCGCAAACCCTTTTTCCTACAGCTGAGCTTGCTACCGCCGCGTTCTGCAGTCACGTGCAAACAATGTTGAGCATTTCAGTTTTGCTGATTTGTGCCTTTCCGTTCCCTTATTCTTTTCCTCGGGGAATTGATGTAACTGCAAACCCATTGTCTAAGTGTGTGCTGCTGCGCCGTCCCACTTGGGTGCACAGTGTGATCCCCCGCAAGGGGGCGCTGCTTTCATTCCGGAGTATCGTGTAACTGATTCACTTTTTCTGCTTGCGTTGGATTCTCTTGACTGAGTTTCTTCTCAACCACTGTATTCCCGAAATTCAAACCGCCGGGTATACGGAAATTCGAAGCCGCCGGGCATACGGAGAATAAACCCCGACGTGCTCTCTACCCCAAACACCCCAACCCCCCCTCCCTCTAATTAAGGTAACAGAGGGAAATGGTACTCGATACACTTGTGTGTCGGTGCCTTTCCCTCTCTTGTCCCTTTTCTAGTCTACTCTACCCGGGCGGTTTAAGACAAAAGTCCCGCTCCCTAACTTTTGCACATAATTCACTTTGGGCTAAGTAATCAGTAACTCTAGAGTGTACACACACATGTACATACACCTCCCTGCCCCCCGTCAAGGGCTAAGTATTCACTTTTTGCTACTCCTATCTTTCTCTTGTGCCCTTTTAGCGCTGCTTCTTTCTCTTGCTTCTGAGGCTCTTTAGGTGCCTATCTAGGTCTTCCCCGAAAGGGCCGCACGGGCCGCACGGCCGAGTGTGTGTGTGTGTGTGTGTCACACTCTGTTTCTAAGAGTTTTCCACAAGCAGGGGCGTGTGACACTCTTATCCTATCACACGCAACGAAGCTGTGGATAAGAGTGGGAAGGGAAAGTTGGCCAGTTTCCTGTACCTGCGACGCAACTGTTGATCAAGCTGTCCAATTTTGTTTTTTGCTTCCACGGTGGTTTCATGATACTCCCCACAAACCCTTTTTCCTGCAGCTGAGCTTGCCACCGCCGCGTTCTGCAGTCACGTGCAAACAATGTTGAACATTTCAGTTTTGCTGATTTGCACCTTTCCGTTCCCTCATGCTTTTCCTCGAGGATTGATGCAACTGCAAACCCGTTGTCTAAGTGTGTCTCGTCTTTCAACAAACTTTGCCTGCTCGGTCCAGTCTCTGACTCCTCCAAAATTGCTGGTTGTCCATGAGCGCAGCTTGAATCAATGAACAAGTTACGTGTTTGCTGCAGCAGTTGTCCTGAGGCGCCGAGGGACACTCTCCGCAATCAAAAGAAGCCTGTCCAAAAAAAACATATTCGTATATTGCATTTTGCAGCCTCCAAAACTCCAAGCAGTCTATCGTCTCGAATTTCATGCGGCCTCATGGTCCATTATGTCCTGCGTGGACAAAATGTTTAGCTCTTCATGCGTCCTCGCCTGGAATATCCGCCAATTCGACAAGTGACAAGTCACTCGAAAGCAGCACTTCTCAGGCAAAAGAAGCATACCCAAATCACAACCACAAGGGTTGCTTTGAGAAGTTTCCTAAACGTGCTGAGGCCACACCAAAGGACCTGGGCTCTGCCTGAGGGCAAATGGCTTCACCATCACCTTCATCAAGGCAAGCTAGAAAAGCCTGTGAAAACAATGAACTGAACTTCGAGCAAATGCGGTGAAAAGGCCTGAAAGCAAAAAAGGCTCCACCAGCTGTGGCTGTGGATGCAGCTGAGGAGCGCCCTGAAGTTTCTCTTGGTTGACACCGTTGTAGAAACTATGGGCAAGCATTGTTTGTGATATTATGTCCTTCTTGTTTCTAAGAGCTTCTTGTTTCTACTAGTAAGGCACCTGTTACTACTAGTTACTAGCGTGGCACTTGTTCCTAGTAGCAAGCTTTGTTTGCCTTCTTTGCGCCTCATCTGCCCAGCACAAGGATGCAGCCCACAAATCGAAGGAATCAGCAGCCGCCATGAGTTACATTCTCGCTGGTCAAGCTGAACGACAGGTTAGCCTTTTTATATTTTTCCGTGTTGAGAATGTTTCAGCCAGAGGGCAGCAATTACATTCATAAGATTTGTAGCATGAGAATACCAGGTTCATTTCTTCATTCTGCAAATGCCGTAGCATGAAGCCAAAGCTGAAGCCAAAGCTCACCATGACAAGCCGGAACTGGAATTATGGACTGCCTGTAAATATGTAAGACTCGACTTAGAAATTGCCAAGCCCACAAGTTCAGACCTAAAAGTCACGACGGTGAAACAAGACTGGTCCTTCATAGAAAATAGAAACCCAGTCGTTCGGGGCATGGTCCTTCACACTGAAATGGCTTCATGTATGACCAGCTTTAGTGGAAACAAGAAAAAAGATACCCTTTTGAAAGGCAAAAGAATCAAACAATTACGTGCAGGATTGAGAAAAGATATCCCGGGGGATCAAAAGGAATTATCAGTGAGATCAGGTTTGAAAAATCCTAACCAGGGTTGAAAGAGAGAACGAAACGGAACACCTAAAAGAATCCGATTTCGTGGCAGGCCAGCAAATAGAAATACCATGAGCAGATTCGGCGGCTGAGGGGAGGTCACAGTGCCTCCCCTCAGCAGCCAACAAAACCAACAGCGCACATAACCAAAGGTCTGCAGTTTTTGCTTCCTTCCTTTTCTTTCCTTTCCGTTCCGTTCCGTTCCCTTCCCTTCCCCTCCCCTCCCCTCCCCTCCCGTCCCGTCCCGTCCCTTCGCTTCCCTTCCCTTCCCTTCCTTTCCCTTCTATATATATATAATATATATAATTGATCCTTATAATTGTTGTTGGTCCTGATAAAAAAATGATTTTTTGATCCTGAATCCTGATGACTTCTTTTGATACTCATGCCTTCGAAGCAGTCTTCCTTGCAGATCTGAAAAGGGTCAAAAGAATGTCATGGAGAAAGGAATTATTGTTGGCATGTTTTTAGTTACTAAGGGTTACTAAGGCATCTGAGTCCAAGAGGCAAGTCCATCATTGGTTGCATCAACAACAAAGGCAACCACAGCGACAACTAGCTATCCGTCTGCCCTCAACATCAAAAGACATGCCAAGCAAGGCAGTAGAGATGCAAATTCCATCATTCTCTACAATTTCAACAATGATCCAATGCCCTTCTTCGCTTTTGCCAACTGCAAATATAACCTTTCCATTGAGGAAAGGGATTTTAGACAAGAGCTAGGGGTTGTACCCAGTTTGTACAACAAGAACATGGACGCTAACCACTGCAATGTGCGGCTTTCTGGTTAGCTCTCTGAGGAACTATGCGGACTCCTCTGTACTGAAAAATGATGAACGCTTGGACCAAAGGCTCGCGTTGACTACAATTCAATGAGCATACAATGGGAGAATACTTCTGAGCCAAGGTGATGATTAAAATAGTAGGTGATGACAATCTTGATCGGTCCCAAGTGTCATCCAGCAAATGCAGTATCATGCAAGATTCTCCTCAATGATTTGCTTAGTATTCTTTTCACTCCTATCTTTACTCAACACCAAACTTGCCAAGCCCCTTGGGTCTTTGAGCAATTGAACAGAACGAACCATCGTAGTGGCTACACTTTCATCATCCATCACTCGTTGACGATCCCAGGCTGCCGAGCTTTGCAGGTCTCGGGAGGTCGCTCGCAGGAAAAGTGCCATTGCTTCGCATTCGCTGGACGTCAACTTCAGTATCAAGGTGTCAGGACCATGTCCACTGTGCGGTCCAAGTCTTACACGCAAAATGGAGTTCAGAGAGTAGCGCGCCAAGCCAGGAGTTCCAGGATCGACGGTGGCCTCCAGAACATAAATGAAAGGAATACTCCATGCATGTTCTGACGCTGAAGTCTCATGCAAAGGTTCGAGTCTCATTTCACTGAGTTCTTTGTTGAAGGAGGCATGAAAATCCCCTGCACCATAAATCATGGATGATACTTCAAGCTGTCGGCCGCACAGGAACGATTGCACCAAATTTGCTACTGCCTCCTTCATTGTATCCTTGGTACCTGCATCATCAAATGTGTTTGAGTCGTCCAACTCTTTGGCGGCGAAAGCTTGTACAAAAGCCAAATCTCGTGTCTTCCATCTGTCAAGCTCGTTGTCAGCATTTTTACAACATCCACGGAGTTGCACCTCCTCATCGTCCACGCCCAAGCGAACTCCACAATTGCCCATGGCGTTCGTTCAAGCACACCCTATGATGTGTCCTTGTTGCAAACAAAAGTGTCTTGTCTCAATGTCCAATAGACGAACTAGCTGGACCTGTCACCATGCACTGCCATTTGCCTTCTCGTGTGGTCTCAAACAACAAAAAACCCTCATGCCACGAAACAATGTCAATTACAGGTAGAATGAAAAGAAATCACGCTCATTAAATTGTTGCGCATGCCATGTTCTGAATCCTCAGCCCCCAGCTGAAAAGAGCCTGAGATGTTCTGGAAGTGTGATTGGTGGAGTCCAATGACCTCAATTGGCAAGTGGTCTCGCCCATGGCCCATTGATCTTTGTTGATCCCCCTCATGCATTTCAGGTTTCAAAGTCAAAAAATGTCGTATTCCCGAATCGTCCACCTTTTACCAGCCTTCCGGCGACTCATAATATTCATATGTTGGTTCCACCGCAAAAATGTTCCGAAAATTGAGGATCACCATTGCTACCTCATGAAGTTGGATGTGAAAGTGTTTCCCCTGGGTCAGATGTTCTCTTTTGGCCCACTTGACCTGGGTTTGAAACTGAAGTCAATCCTTTGACATAAATTTGTCAATGTCCGGTGTAACAGTGCGCAATTCGCTGCAAATAACACGCTCATGGATCTGGAACAAGTTCTGGAGCAAGTTCCTGAACAAGTTCCATGGCAAGTTCCGGGATACTGGGGCCCACATTGGCGACCCCGGAATCCACTGCGTTTTTTTGGTGCCGCCAGTGGACCAGATTTTCACACGCATCGTGATCCACCTTTCTAACCCCAAAAGTCGAGCTATGACGGTTGGAGTCCACTTCGCCCCAAACGTTGAAAAACACGTGGAATGAGCCCCTCCGGAGTCGGCGGAGTGACAATCATGAGCAATTCCCCTTGTCCTGCACATGGAGTCGACACTCCGGCTTCAGAAACATTTTTTTTGAAACGACAGAACCTACTTGGACGCACAAACGCAAAAGTAGCACCGCGAAAACAGTTATTTCTGACGACCAATCCAAGCACTTCTGCGACCGTTGTTCTGGACACAGGCGGAATGCCGTGACTGGAGTCACTTGTTTTTGAAGCCAACAAGATGGAACCCACGAACCCGAATGCAAACACGTTCGAAAAACTACATATGTCCAAAGGACACTCTTGTAAGACACTCTTGTGGGACACTCTTCTGGGACACTCTTGTAGGACACCTCTTGTGGGTCACTCTTGTCGGAAACTCTTGTGGGACACTCTTGTAGGACACTCTTGTGGGACACTCTTATAGGACACTTTTGTGGGACACTCTTGTGGGACACTCTTGTAGGACACTCTTGTAGGACACTCTTGTGGGTCACTCTTGTAGGAAACTCTTGTGGGACACTCTTGTGGGACACTCTTGTGGGACACTCTGTGGGACACTCTTGTGGGACACTCTTGTGGGACACTCTTGTAGGACACTCTTGTGGGACAGTCTTGTAGGACACTCTTGTGGGACACTCTTGTGGGACACTCTTGTGGGACACTCTTGTAGGACACTCTTGTCGGAAACTCTTGTGGGACACTCTCAAGGGACACTCTTGTGAGACACTCTTGTGGGACACTGTTGCGGGACACTCTTGTGGGACACTCTTGTGGGACACTCTTCCAGCTCCCCAGATACTCCGCGTACTAAAGTTGTACTAGGTCGCCAGTTCTCAGCTTCCAGCTCCACAGATTGCTCCGCGTACTAAAGTTGTACTACAAAGTCGCCAGTTCTCAGCTTCCAGCTCCACAGATTGCTCCGCGTACTAAAGTTGTACTACCAAGTCACCAGTTCTCATCTTCCAGCTCCCCAGATACTCCGCGTACTAAAGTTGCACGACAAAGTCGCCAGCGCTCGCCTGCACTTCGCGCGCTCGACACGCACGATCTCCGCAGAGGGTTGCGGGCAACGGACAAATCGCACACTCGCCTGCATTTGGCGCACTCGACACGCACGATCTCCGCAAAGGGTGGCGCGGGCGCCGGACAAATCGCACTCTCGCCTGCATTTCGCGCACTCGACGCGCACAATCTCCGGAGAAGGTTGCGCGCGTATGGGACAAATCGCACTCTCGCATGCATTTCGCGCACTCGACACGCACGATCTCCGCAGGTTGCGCGCGCATGGAACAAATCGCACTCTCGCCTGCATTTCGCACACTCGACACGCACGATCTCCGCAGAGGGTTGCGCGTCAAGTCTCGAAAACGAGCGTTTCGTGCGAGACTTCCTCAAAAACTCACACGTCAAAGTCTGCAAAACGAGCGTTTCGTACGAGACTTCCTCCAAAGTCAAGCGGAAACACCCATTGAAGCACACACATCACGCAGCCCTGCCAAGCAGTTTCGCGATTCCAGCCCCTCCAAACAACATCCGCTCACACGCCAATCCCAATGTGACAGCGACATTCACCTCTACCACAACTTGCAACCTCACGATTCCTGCGCCTGCCACGAACCTTTCCGCGCCCACATCTAACGCGCACAAAGTACTGCGCCTGCCACGAAATGTCACCTCCGTCACACCTCGCAACCTCACGATTCCCTGTGCCTGCCAGGAGAATCGCACTTCCACGCCTCAAAACCCGCACAAAGTCCTGCGCCTGCCACGAAAAGTGACAATGTCATCTCATGTGAGCTTCAACAAAATTTGCACAGCACCACACGTTTGGAATGATTTCGACCCGTTCTGAGCACACTTCCATCTTTTTTTTCCACGAGTACGGACGCCGTGTGGGCATGGTGCCCAGGTCATCATTGAAGGAAGGGAAATACAGTCAGATGGTGGAGAAAAGGACAAAGACAACCCAACCAACAAAAAACAACAGCCAACCACAGCCCAAAGGCCGAGTCTCCACCATCCTGTAGTCTTTCCTCTGTGCTAGGGTGAAACAAGTGAGACGATGACTGCTGACTATGGGCCTGAATTCACGAAAGAAGAGCATGGCAGCGAGGGTTTGTGCTCTAGCAAAATCTCAAAGAAGTCGTCAAATGGACTTCACATCACTATTACCAGTGACCAGCGGCCACTGCACAGAGTGGCAAAAACATGGTCACGATGCAAATCCCGGGCATTGGTATACTCTAACGCAGGTTAGATCCTTATCTAAGTGGATCAGTGGTTGCTATGCAGATCATGCCGTGGAAAATACCTTTCTTGTAGCACAACCCATGCAACTGGTTGCACATACAAGTCAAGAGGCATAGTAGTTGGTAGTGTTCAGACAGTGGCAGCCATAGCAAACGACGAAAGCCTGCAGGTAAGGGTGCGAAAGTCTCACCCCCCGGAAGGGAGGTCATCTCGGCACCCTTCGGCACACAAAGGTGCCAAAACGGGGTGTTCCCTAACTTCGAGAAATGCTGCGTCATTGCAAAAATTGTTCTGTTGCGTGCAAGGCCCGTGTGAAACAGGTGAGACATTAAACCTATCCTAGCATGGTATCTGTACCTCTTTGTACAAAATTGGAAATGTCGGACATCAACAGAGGGAACTAAGGTTCCCCCTGGGCATCCTCCATTGCCACTCTCTACCACCCGCCTGTTGGGAACGAGGAGCTAAGGCTCTCATTCCTATTGGCTCACTGTATTGCAAATGGCGAAAAGAGGTTGGCGACCCTACTTAGTGTTTGCACTTTTCACTTGCCGTAGCTTCCTGACGGTGTGCTTATGCACCATTCTCGCTGCGAAAGCATTGCTGGTCTGTGGTGCAGGTTCTAGAAAGTCTTCTCTCCATAGATCACTGGCATCGGCCGGCAAAACTCGGTGCCATTCGGACTGGTCGAGTTGCCCACATTTGTCAAAGGCATTGGGTCGGGCATATGTCCCTCGCCATGTTTTGCTTTTTCTTTGTTTGCACATTGCTCGAAATTGCGTGCTACCTGCAAAAGCGCATCGCGCCATGTAAAGCAGGAGTGGAAACCTCCTGTAGAGAGGTACACTTGAGGAAGGCTTCTTATGCCGTGATCCTCAGTTTGGGACGGGTCAACAGTTTGCAGCTGTTGGCGGCTCGCACAGGCGGTGTAGCCTATCCTGTTGAAGTCTGTCGGCAAGACAAGTGCGACAATGCCCGCCTCCAGAAAGCAGCAGTCCGGCAAGCATCGGTTTGGGTGCGCTGCATCCGGCTCTGGCATACCTAAATTGATGTGACTCAGAGCTGTGCATGCTTGAAAGCTCGCGGCCTCAGTTGGGCTTGGGGGGCTAGCCGATTGCTAGGGCATTGAGCTGTGCCCTCCCTTGTCAAGGAGCGACACTATTCGAACACTTTAGCGCCGAAATGCTTGCAACCGAAGCAAACTCTACTCGTGGAATTTGGCACCAGCTGAGTGCACCATGCAATAATCTGACGACTGTGTCTGGCAAGTGGACGATTTGCAACTGTCGACAGCTCATCCACGCAGCCTCCGACAATCTTGACACTGCTCTCCACGAGTGCGTGACGGATCCCTGTGCAAAAGGAAACGGCTTGTGGGAGATGTGTGTCATTTCTACCACGCGGCACCGGATTGCCTTGACTCCTCTGTTTCGATTCGACCGCGACGTTTTTTCACCCCCCTGTTTCACGGAAGGCAACTATAGCAAATTATCTAAGGTGAAAAGTACTTTGATGTGACTTCTGGCCTCCTCTGGACTCGAGCTAAGGCGCGCGCCTAGAGTCTTGATGGGTGACGGTGAGACCGCGATAGCTGTGGTCAGAGAGGCATGTCTTCATCCAAGACCAGGGGTGTATCCCATGTCCGGGATCATATGCAGTCAGAGTGGCCACCTCATATCTGGACAAATGGCAAAAGCATTCTCTTCAGCATAGACTCCTCGCCATTTGTGCCTTCCTGGCATCTTAGCGAGCCTCTTAAAGGCAATGCAATCCAAGAAAGCCCCACTTCCAATATATTTCAGTGAGGGCGGGATGGCAAGCTCAACAAGGGCTGCACAGTTCATAAAGGCTTTAACTCGAATTGTATGGAGAGTAGGCGGAAGGAGAACTT